GTTTTTTAAAATATGCGACCACCCTTGGGTTGTAAAGTTGGAAGTTTGCCCCGTGTTACTGCTCTTAAACACAGTCTCTCTTTTTTTTTTTTTTTTTTTTTTTTTTTTTTTAAATTTTAAATTTTTTTTTTTTTTTTTATGTGCCACAAAGCTGCCACATCCACGTGTATAGTACCTATCAATTGCAGTATCAAAATTTGTAAATGGCAGTTTTGGGGCTTTTTCGGGGTGAAAAAAAATTGCCCTGTTTGCCAACATTGAAGATGGGGTAAAATGAAAGTACAAGACAAGGGACATTATTTTAGTAACATTGATATAATCATTTCTAGACACAGGAGGCACTGTGAAGGAATGAAGATGCTGCCTCAAGATGGCCTTTGTAATCATGGTGTTTTGCCTGGAGTTCAGCTTTAACAATGGTGAAACATTGTGGAAATTGTTGCTCTGCAGCTGGAAATCCCTTCTCTGACTAGAATGCATTATACTTTGATTCATGTAGAGGGCTGCCTTTTACAGCCCATAGGTTGGACTCTTTTACAACTGTAATGTAAGATATTTCAAGCTGGGAAAACCAGCTGGCCAGCATTCCATGTCATTCTGAAGCTTCAGCTGGGTGGAACAAGGAAGTATCAGCCTCTGAAATGGAGCTGCCATTGGACTATTGGAAGGAATCATCCAGGGGTTGGTATGTTAATGACTTCATTTGAATGCCTTTTGGAGACTATCCTTTCCTGCTTTTGTATTGGTATGTTTTCACATTGCTGGTGTATTGCTGTGTACTAGTACATATTATGTATTAGTATATTACAGCCAGTTGACCTTTTTGACTTTTTTTTTTTTGTTGATTTGAGGCTGGTTTATGATCTGTGATGTGGGAACTGTTTGTGTTTTTGATTTTTTTCTAGGTTTTTTGCACAGTTTACGCCTATCTATACTACAGTATATATATAAACATGTATACTATGTACATACCCGTAGGGTATCCATAAAATTCACACTTGTGCAGACATTTGCACTTTGTGTACTAACGCACATTGGCAGGTGTTTTAACACATTTTTTTGCATTGTGAGAGTTGCAAAATACAGGTTTGGTATGTGATAGAAGCCTGTGATAACAGGGTAATGTGTGTTACCTTTTTATCCCATGGCCCCTGAAAGGAACTGCAGAGGAAATGGTGCAGACCTCGATGTATTTTGTCATTGCTCTGCAAATCGGAACAACCTGCCTAGACAGTCATTTATTTGTGTCTGCCTTTACCTGTGTACACCAGTAATACAAAATAAAAATGGGAGTCCCCGAACCAGTACACTGCTACCTCCGCTCTCCTCACTCCCCACTTGTTACTAACAGTTGCTTTTAGCAGTTAGTAACTGGATGAGTGAGGAGAGCGGAGGTAGCAGTGTACTGGTTCGGGGACTCTCATTTTTATTTTGCATGCCCTCATTGGTGGGAAGAGAAGTTGGAGCAGACCCGCAAGTTGGAGCACTGTTATGTCATCTAATGTGGATATGTTTGGGGTTAACTCCTAAAGTGCTGATGGCTTTTCATTTGTATGAAAGGCCAACAGCTCCAGAAGAGCTCCTACTCACCTTTGTTGTCACTTCTCCCTTTTTGTCTCATTGGATGAATGGGTCCTTTTCCTTTTTCTCCCTTTTGACAGTTGGAAGCACTTTGTATTGTGAATTTATGGTGGACTTCACTTTTAATTATCATTTTGTATCACCTAGGTTTTAGCACTGCACTTTCTGTATTATTTAATTTGTACTCTGAGGTTTCTGTATCTTTTACCTGTGCCAGCTGCTTTCACTGCATTTTTTTAATCCGAGTGCAGAAATTTATTGGGTTTTTAATTTTTTTACCTTCATGCATTCCATGCATTAAGATAAAAAATGTCTCACTAATTGTATCACCCCTTCAGGCCCTTATACGTTTCTGAATCCTATTTCGATCCAGCTCTGTGCCTGTCTGCAGCACCACTGCGCTCTCTCTCCCTTACAGGGTCAGAGACAGCAGCGAGAGCCATTTGCTCCTGCTAACCTTAATCAAGTCCTGTGAGGAGGGGGCTGGGGTCGAGCCACAGTGTGTCGGTGGATGCACACAGCCCAGCTTGGGAGCGAGCCTGCAGGTGTGCCACCATAGGAAGCGGCTTCCTATGGTGGCACACAGAGAAGAGGAGGAGCCAATAGCACTGGCAGGGGACTTCAGAAGAGGAGGTTTCAGGCTGCTCTGTGCAATACAGTTGCCCAGAGCGGCTAAGTATAACACGTTTATTACTTAAAAAAAAAAAAACTTTACAACCGCTGCAAATGAGTAGACTGAAGCCCGCAATGGTGACCAGATTATGACTGCACCATAAAGAATACAGTCAGGTCCATAAATATTGGGACATCGACACAATTCTAACATTTTTGGCTCTATACACCACCACAATGGATTTGAAATGAAACGAACAAGATGTGCTTTAACTGCACACTATCAGCTTTAATTTGAGGGTATTTACATCCAAATCAGGTGAGCGGTGTAGGAATTACAACAGTTTGCATATGTGCCTCCCACTTGTTAAGGGACCAAAAGTAATGGGACAGAATAATAATCATAAATCAAACTTTCACTTTTTAATACTTGGTTGCAAATCCTTTGCAGTCAATTACAGCCTGAAGTCTGGAACGCATAGACATCACCAGACGCTGGGTTTCATCCCTGGTGATGCTCTGCCAGGCCTCTACTGCAACTGTCTTCAGTTCCTGCTTGTTCTTGGGGCATTTTCCCTTTAGTTTTGTCTTCAGCAAGTGAAATGCATGCTCAATCGGATTCAGGTCAGGTGATTGACTTGGCCATTGCAGAACATTCCACTTCTTTCCCTTAAAAAACTCTTTGGTTGCTTTTGCAGTATGCTTTGGGTCATTGTCCATCTGCACTGTGAAGTGGCGTCCAATGAGTTCTGAAGCATTTGGCTGAATATGAGCAGATAATATTGCCCGAAACACTTCAGAATTCATCCTGCTGCTTTTGTCAGCAGTCACATCATCAATAAATACATGAGAACCAGTTCCAATGGCAGCCGTACATGCCCACACCATGACACTACCACCACCATGCTTCACTGATGAGGTGGTATGCTTAGGATCATGAGCAGTTCCTTTCCTTCTCTATACTCTTCTCTTCCCATCACTCTGGTACAAGTTGATCTTGGTCTCATCTGTCCATAGGATGTTGTTCCAGAACTGTGAAGGCTTTTTTAGATGTCGTTTGGCAAACTCTAATCTGGCCTTCCTGTTTTTGAGGCTCACCAATGGTTTCCATCTTGTGGTGAACCCTCTGTATTCACTCTGGTGAAGTCTTCTCTTGATTGTTGACTTTGACACACATACACCTACCTCCTGGAGAGTGTTCTTGATCTGGCCAACTGTTGTGAAGGGTGTTTTTCTTCACCAGGGAAAGAATTCTTCGGTCTTCCACCACAGTTGTTTTCCGTGGTCTTCCGGGTCTTTTGGTGTTGCTGAGCTCACCGGTGCGTTCCTTCTTTTTAAGAATGTTCCAAACAGTTGTTTTGGCCACGCCTAATGTTTTTGCTATCTCTCTGATGGGTTTGTTTTGTTTTTTCAGCCTAATGATGGCTTGCTTCACTGATAGTGACAGCTCTTTGGATCTCATCTTCAGAGTTGACTGCAACAGATTCCAAATGCAAATAGCACACTTGAAATGAACTCTGGACCTTTTATTTGCTCATTGTAATTGGGATAATGAGGGAATAACACACACCTGGCCATGGAACAGCTGAGAAGCCAATTTTCCCATTACTTTGGTCCCTTAACAAGTGGGAGGTACATATGCAAACTGTTGCCATTCCTACACCGCTCACCTGATTTGGATGTAAATACCCTCAAATTAAAGCTGACAGTCTGCAGTTAAAGCACATCTTGTTTGTTTCATTTCAAATCCATTGTGGTGGTGTATAGAGCCAAAAATGTTAGAATTGTGTCGATGTCCCAATATTTATGGATCTGACTGTATTTGTCCTTAGAGAAGCTTGAGGCTGTATTCACACAATCCTCCAGAGTTGCCAATCTCAGTCCCACCACATAGACAAGGTAATTTGTCTTAAATCCTATAAGTATGCTGCAGTGGTGTGCTTTTAAAATAAGTAACATGCTGTGTTAAAAAGATTATGAAATGTCACTTTGTGACATCTGAGTAAAGAGAAACATGGATTCAGGTTTCATTGAAGTGTGGAAAAATGCAGTAAGCCTGCATTTTCTGCACTGCACATCACACCAGCGTTGTGTGAACAGTTGCTTTCTATGTATATGTAAGAGAGTGCAGCGCTAAAAAAAAAAAAAATATTGCAGAACGGTAAAGTGCAAAAAACTTTAGTAAATGCAAAATCTAATAAACAATATGGTAAAGTGCATCATAAATGTAATGAGCTGAGTGAAACTGTAAAGTGCATCAAGTAAAAGAATGAAAATATCAGCTAAACAGCTCAAAAAGCAAATGCCAAACAATAAAGTGTATCACGGGTAGAATCTAAATACAATAGTGTCTGTGGTGAACCGTGAAGTAAAGTGCAGTAGTAAATGATGTTACAATAAACATAAAATCTGAGATGTATAAATAGGATAAAACTCTACATGCTCTTTTTATAGTCAAATATCCATAAATGGATGCAATTGTCCGTGAAACCATAAGGCGCAGTATAATTAAGGTGCAGAGTGCAAATGTGCTGATGGTCACACAAAAGAATCCACCGCCTCTCTCGGATGTACATTCACCAGATGAAAACTGGTAACAGGCAATCGAGCATTAAACATCTGAGAATGAAAAGTGGCCAAAGGGTTAAACTGGACCAAATTTGTCCTGGGCACTCGGATGGGTAGTCAGCCCTTGTCCTAGAGGGAATCTCTCACCACAGGAGCCAATAAAGTTGCATATAGTGTAGTACAGGGCTTACAATTTCAAGTTCTGAGCTACTAGCCAGGAGTTACTCGCCACCAACAAACACACACAAACAGACACCTGTACACACACAGACATGTACATGTACATACACATACAGACACATGTATACACACACAGGCACCTACAGACATGCATACACACAGATACATACACAGAAATACACACGCACAGACACATGTACTTACATACACACACAGAGACAGATGTACGTACATACAAGCACACATGTACATACACGCAGACACATGTACATGCATACACAGACACACACAAACATGTACACACATGCACGCACGCTGTTAAGTTGCAGTACTTCGTTGTTCACTCACAGAGCCGGGTACTGCACTCTAGGGGGAGGCAGAGAGCACAGCACACACTCCTTCCTTTGCTTTCACTGCGCTCAGCTATTGAGCAGTCTGACCGCTCCCAGTGCCAATGACAGATCCGGCCTGAGCTCCGAGTCTGCTCAGCGAGATGGCCCTGGGGGACCCACTCGCCCCCACCATAATTTCCAATCGCCATTGGCGAGCAGGCGAGTGTAGTATTTATTAGAACATTAAAAAGTATCCACTTGGAGACTGAAATCAAAAAGCATAAAAAGTGTACCAAGGTGGCCACCGCTCCGACCATCGTTGGCGTGACGTCAGCAAATGGCAGCTCCACCCAACGCGTTTCGTGTGCATGCACATCCTCAGGGGTACACCTATTGAAGCGCTCACCTATATATTAGACTCTGTTACAGTTGCTTTCTATGTGCCTTTGCTGTGACTGGTGTTGATCCAGTGTGAAAACACATCACTCACCACAATGTGTGAACGAGCCCTAAATGTACACGTGTTTACACACATTCAGTATATCTAGTCCGCTCCTGGATGTACGGATTTCTATTTTCTCCAAACACAGCTAAACTGATTGATCCTAAATGCAGTTAAGCGCACAGTATGAATGATACTATTTAAACTCATTACATGGATTTGTATATATTTGGAAATATTCTGTAATTGCCAGTGTAAATGAGGCCTAAATGTTGCCACATCTTGAGAATGATAGTTGCCCGGCTATCCATCGCTTCAATACTTTGAGTCACTAACCTGGAACAAAAAGGCAACCAGTGAAGGCAGCTTATCGGCAAACGTGTTTCTGGGTTAATTATGCTGAATGTTTTGAAGCCGTTGGATCAAAGTCGGGCAACTGCATTTTCACATTAAATAGGTTTTTATTAGAGTTTTACAAAATGACATCATAAATGAATCACATAATGTTTTCTAACTTTGAAAGGTTTACAATAAGATAAGAACACTAATAGAACATCATGCACTTAATTTTATTTGTTGATTTTCCAGATAACAATGTCTAATATAGAGATGATACATGGTTCCTCTGCAACTGAGGAAGAAATAAAGGAGAAGGGATGAGGAAAGGCTAAAAAACAGATGACAGGCAACCTAGAGAGAAGTTATATGAAAGTTAGGGAAAAGAGGGAGAAAAGCTCTGCGAATTTCAATATATTTCTGTCAGTTTCGGTGTTTCAAAGAAAATATAGCTATTGCTTGGAAGTGAAGTATGAGCATAGTGGATCCATAGGGACCACACACTAAGAAATTTCTTGTGGCTATCTGTGAGTATACTTTAAGTTTCTTGTAAATAAAAAGATATGTTCATGCATTGTTTGACCTCCATAAAGTGTAGAAATTGCTCCTTCCATGATTTAGCCATGGTTAGTTTAGCTGCTTAAAGCACATACATGATTGGTTTGAACTGAGGTTTGGGAAGGAAGGTTTATTGTTTAAAATTGCATGCCAAGGGTCCCTGGGAATGGGCAGTAGAATATGACATGTAGAAGTTTGAATACTTTGGTCCAAAATCTACTGACATGAGGCAAGCCCACCAGATATGAAGCACATCTGCGACAGTGTTACAACCTCTGAAACACAGGTTATAACGACAGGGTGAAGGTTTGCCAATCTGCTTGGCCCCATTTACCATTGATTACTTTACTTTAATGTCATTTTAGTAAAAGTCATGTTAATGGAACATGTAGAGACCATGAACTAAATTTGTTGCCAGTCCTCTGAAGTCTACTTGTAAGGTTGGGATATGGAGTTGTGTGTTCGCAAATACACTATATTGGGTCACCCCTCCCAAATCATTGGATTCAGGTGTTCCAATCACCTCCATGGTCACAGCTGTATATAATTAGGCACTTAGGCATGCAGCCTATATCTACAAACATTTGTGAAAGAATGGGTCGCTTTCAGGAGCTCAGTGAATTCAAGCGTGGTACCGTGATAGGTTGCCACCTGTGCAACAAGTCCATCCATGATATTTCCTTGCTACTAAATATTCCACAGTCAACTGTTAGTGGTATTATAATAAAGTGGAAGCCACTGGGAACAACAGCAACTCAGCAACGAAGTGGTAGACTGCTTAAAATGAAAGAGCGGGGTCAACGCATGCTGTAGCACACAGTGTGCAGAAGTTGCCAACTGTCTGCAGAGAATAGCTAAATGTGGCCTTTAGATTAGCACAACCGTGCGTAGAGAGCTTCATGGAATGGGTTTCCATATCCAAACCTTACATAACCAAGTGCAATGCAAAACATTGGATGCAGTGGTGTAAAGCACGCTGCCACTGTACTCTAGAGCAATGGAAACATGTTCTTTGGCGTGACGAATCATGCTTCTTTGTCTGGCAATCCGATGGACGTGTTTGAGTTTGGCAGTTGCCAGGAGAATGGTACTTGCCTGACTGCATTGTGCCAAGTGAATGTAGTGTGTAGTTCCAGGCAGGGACCACCAGTTTTCTCCACTGCTTTCAGCCTAGAGTTTGGGAGGATTAAAAGGATCATTGAGCGCTATCTTCCCATACTTCTGAGTGATGATTTATTTGCACAAATATTGTCATACGGTACTAAAATTGTTTCCCGATGTGCACCAACTTTGGGCAATACTCTGTCCTCTAGCTATTTCTCTTCTAGAAAAACTCAGAGAACATGGCTGAGTTTTAAGTGTAACTATAGGTGTGGTATAGATGGCTGTCCCTGTTGCTCTTGTATTAAGGAAGGGGAGGAATTTAGATCCACAGTTAGTGGCAAGGTTTACATGATCAAGCACTTTATCAACTGTAATACTAAGTAATATATTTGATAACTTGTAGAAGTTGTCAAGTACAATATGTTGGTAGGACGATTTAGGAGGCTACGAAGTCGCTCCATGATCATGTTTATGACATACAAAAGAATCATTCTACCAATGTCGCTAATAATTTTAACAGTTCTCATGGAGGTGACCTTAGTGCTTTGAGCATACAGGGCATTGAGAAGGTGGACAAGTCTCCTAGGGGTGGAGATGGCTTTAGATTGCTGTGCATCTTTTGGATTTTTTATTTGCATACACATATTCCTAATGGTTTGAATTTTGAATGGTATCTTACCCATTTTTATGAGTCACTTCCTTGCCCAGCCATGGCCCCCTTCTTCTCTGATGTGATTGTTTTACTAGCTTTTTTGAATATATGCATTTATTTGACTACATGTGTTTATTTGGTGCTCTTTTTTGATTATTTTCTGTGTCTCTGCCCGTTCCATCGCCTTATTGGCCTTTCTGGTCTTTATTATATTTGGGATGGTGAGGATAGGACAGAGACTGGGTTATTGATCTAAGACATATCTATTTTTATAATTTCTATATCTTCTTATTTGGGGTGAATCCAATATACATACATTTATACATGATGTGGTGTTTTCTTCATGGTATGTTATTTTTGGTTTCTTCTTCCCATATATTCTTTGCAGCTTTTTTTTTATTTTTACCATCTCCATTGTGCGACACGGGAATTCTTGCACATATCCTGTGGTTGGTACATTGGATTTTATGCATTGCACTTTGAGTATGTTAAAATTATTCGTTACAGAACTGTCTTTATCTTTAAATTGGTTTGGTGTAGCAGGAGGTGGACCCAATGTTGATAGGAGGAAACAGCTGTTGCTGGTGCTTTAAACCAACACTTTGTACATGGGTCCACTGGGTAATGAACAAGCGCTGTCTTTAGCGTGAAACACGTTTACCTGCCAGTCCCCCACTGTCTGCATTGGTTTTATCTTGATTCAATAAAGTGGATTGTTTGGAGTGCAGCCAATTGGACGTCCTTTTGTTCTTATCTATACAGCACACTAGCTGGACTAGCACCTACAGAGTTGTGCTTGGAGATTGGGAGTCTCTCTATCTTGAGCAGCAGTAAGCATACATGATGGATGGGGGGATTATGGTGTGAGGTTGTGTTTCAGGGGTTGGGCTTTGTCCCTTTAGTTCCAGTGAAGGGAACTCTTAATGTGTCTGCATACAAAGACATTTCGGTCAACTTCATTCTCTCAACTTTGTGGGAACAGTTTGGGGATGGCCCCTTCGTGTTCCAACATGACTGCACACCAGTGCGCAAAGCAAGGTCCATAAAGACATGGATGAGCGAGTTTGGGGTGGAGGAACTTGACTGGCCTACAGAGTCCTGACCTCAACCCAATAGAACACCTTTGGGATGAATTAGAGTGGACTGCGAGCCAGGCCTTCTTGTCAGATATCAGTGCCTGACCTCACAAATGCATTTCTGGAAGAATGGTCAAACATTCCCATAGACACACTCCTTTAACCTTGTGGACAGCCTTCCCAGAGGAGTTCAAGCTGTTATAGCTGCAAAGGGGGGGGCAACTCAATATTGAATACTATGGGCTAAGATAATTATAATAAGAATAGCGCCAAGAACAATGTGAAATTATAAAATATATGTGCAGCTGCAAAACCTAACCAAAAAGGTTTTATTTATGCTAATAGGATGTTAATTACCAATATAAGAGATTTGAGATATTGTTGCTTCTTATTGTTTGGGATAGTGTTGTGGGATAGTGTTGTATTGTTATGGGGAGTACGGCATTATCTTTCCTAACAAGGAGAGTTTCAAAAAATTGAGGTTTTATTGTATAATACTGTAAGTTTACTACATTTATTATATAATGCCGTAGTGTTTATTAAAAGGAAGGATGCGTTAGTTGTATACAAAGTATATAATCCTAAGATTAATATTGAGAGTCTCGAGATTGAGCGTTTTATTGTTTAAATATAATGCCGTAATATTGTTTTAATTAATGCCGCATCATGGCTATTGTAGAGTGTGTGTGTGTGTGTATATATGTATATGTGTGTGTGTGTGTGTATATATATGTATATATATATGTGTATATATATATGTGTGTGTGTGTGTGTGTGTGTATATGTATATATATATATATATATATATATATATATGAGAGAGAGCATGTGTCTCACATCCATCCGCTCTGTGAGGACATCTAGTGACAAAACGCGTAGGGCGGGGCTGGTGGATATGACGTCAAGATGTTCCCGAGGCTGTCGGCGGGTTGTACGAGTCTTAGCAAGCTGGGTTCATCTCCCATTCTGAGAATGCAGTTTTTGCTGGTGTTGGCTGGGACACCTTTTTTGTGAGTTTGATGGCATATTTGTTTTAATAAAAATTATGTTTTAACGTACTGCACCA